ATTCTTGCAGAAGATAAAACCAAGCAAGAATACCTTACATATATAGCTTTTGCGGCATGATCTCGTCCAATCGCTGACCAGAGCTGCGGAAGCTTTGTGGTGACGATTGCTGCCTAATGCATGTTAGCGTGGTTCACCAATGCGTGATTAAGCCCTGGTATCCTGCTGACGCGCTCCGCCGTGATATCGAATTCCTTCCTAGCGGTATCGAGTGTGCCGTTAGTGAGCCCCCGCCGTGACTCTCATAGATTACGTGCTGAGGGCTTACAAACAGCCGTGTTTTCCGCGTATTCATCTCTGCCTCAGCTAGGAGACAGTTTTACCTACTGCTTTAAGGACACAATAAGTGGCACTATTGCGCACTATGGGTGGTTGTCGCGCGTTCGTGTCACTCAAAGGGGCTATGCAAAATTTTTAACATTGAAATAATTTGCAGCTTGTAGTTTTATATTGTTGATAGCGTCAGAAAGAATAAAAAAAGCATCACTCTCCTGCAAAATGTTGCAATTCTGTTGTGTAATCGCAAAGCAGAAATGGAAAATTTTTCCCTCTCTGCAGTTGTGCGCGGCGGTCATGGGAAACGCGCCGTGACGGTGACGCGGGGATCGCTGCAGCTCAACGCTTCACGAAGAGCAGTAGAGCGAGAAAGAGTAAACATCCTTGGGGAGAGCGCACAAAAACCGGTGCATCCTCACGTCGACGTCACTGAGCACGTCATTCGGAGAGTTGAGGGGTGCCGGAAACTTGAATCTTTGTTATTGTTTAAAATTATAATTAGGGCACACAGACTAAATCGCTTTTCTGTTCTTTACTTTAGAAGTGTCAGAGAACAACTCATATAATTATTTGGCCATTGTCCGGAAATCGTTGCAGAGCCGCTTTATTTTATGGCTTTCGGTACAAGTCATCACAGCTGATGTTAAACTGAACATTTTAAGGTCACTTCGCGAACAACCATGCTGAGAATTTCTGGCCAGTACCATGTTTTTTTTTTTGTTTTTTTTTTTCTTGTTTTCTTGATTTCTTTACCCTTTACAACGCGTGCATAATAAATTGAGCAGCAGCTGTTTGCATGGTAGCCGGGGAAAATTTAGGATGGGAAGCTTAAAAATAACACATGGAGGGAAGCGACAGTTTTTAACGCGTCGCCGAGTCGCGAGAAAGATATGCGCGAACGGCGCCTGCCGCGGAGCACGCGAGCTCGTCCAGCGCGGTGAGCGAGTCTTTCGGAATCTTGGTTCCCGGGGCGGCACCTAGCGCCCATTTATTCGCTCAAGAGCGCATCGCGTTGAAGCGAGCGAACGAGTGGGTCAGCAGATAACAAAGGACGCGCGTGCGCATTGCGCGGGTCTCGGCACCAGGCGCCGCGCCGTCAGGGAGCGCGGCGATGCAATTCGGTCGGCGCTCCCGTGTTATCCAGACTTTTGCTCACGACAGTACAGTCGGGAGCAAAAGTTTGCGGGGCACGGGAGCGCGTGCCGAAATGCATCGCCGCGCCGTCCGACGGCGCAACGCCGCATTAAGGAGACGCGCTTTGCGCATGCGCGCCTTTCGTGTTCGCATTCATGTCTCTTTCGCCCGTTTCTTTCCGACGCACTCCTGATAACAGGAGTCGGCGCCAGGGGCGCGAGTTAGCGCTTCGCTGGCTGTCATGCTGCGCGTCTGCTTCAGCTGCCGCGCTTTGTCACGGAGCTCGCGTAGGGAAGGGGAGGGGGTTAACCAGGCGCTCCGTCACCCAGCGCGGCTGCTGTGGCGGGTGAAGAGGACGCCAGGCATGACAGCCAGCGAAACGGCAACTTGCGCCCCTGGCGCCGACTCCGGTTATCAGCAGGGAGTCGGAAAGAAACGAGCGAAAGAGACATCACTGCTAGCACGAAGGGCGCGCATGCGCAAAGCGCGGCTTTTTAATGCGGCGGCGCGCCGTTGCACGGCGCGGCGATGCATTTCGGCACGCGCTCCGGTGCCCCGCAAACTTTTGCTCCCGACTGTACAGTCAGGCACAGTCAGCGGCCCACTAGAAAACATTGACTGCCAAACAGGGTTACATGGATGGATTTTTCCTTCGGGAAGACTTCGAGTCTTTTCACGAAGTTAGCCCGGATGCCAGGACTTTTGTCGAAAGCGGTAAGTGTTCGAAACGTCGACAACGTCGGTAGCCACGTGTTGTGCTTGACACTGGACACTTACCATTCGCTGAGAAGAAACTTGCTTGTTCGTCTGCCACCAGTCGTCCGATATCAGGTCATCACCGCAACACCATCTCCCGACCAAAAACGCATGTCCATAGTTAGAAATCACGTGAACTTATAAATTCCCGAACGCTTATAACTTGCCGTCGCTAAACGCCGTTCATTCCATAGCGTCTTCATTGCAAATAAACGTCTTCCTATTTCTTCTGATGGTTTTCATCATATTCCTCCTAAGCTGTACTTACAACAATATGTGTGTCGGTACTTCCGAAAATATTGCAACGGCGTTTGTTTTCTGGGAAGTATAATGTAACAACCTTTACAACATCCTCCGGACCCCGTGAAACATAATATTTCGTGACCTTTTTTTAGTCGTCATTAAAATGGTAAGGTAAGTACCGTAAATCGCGAAGCAGTTTACTTGACGTCCGCTTCCACTGGTGTCGTGGAAGATTGAGTCTACTGAGCGTGCATTCCTGCAGAGGAAATTTTCATTGATAGAATATTGACACGTCAATCAACATTTGATTCCTTCTTGGTAAGATTTATTGCGAAAGCCCGTTACAACCGCCGAACCGCATGTCCCTATATCAGAGAACAAATTATACGCAGCCTGACATTCTCGCATACATTCGTTTGATGGGCCACGCTACTCGAGCTAGCTGAGCACAGCTGGCAGCGACGCGAGCAAGGCCACGAGGGGAACGTGATGGTGCTCGAGCCATCTCACTATGAACCAATGTTTTGGCCACCCCACGGGTGCGTGTCGCCATCTATTGGTTGAACTAACGCCTTGTTCAAGATGGCTGCCGTGGGACCGCAGCCTTAAAGGAATACTGAACCAAAGATTTTAGTGCCCACAATAAGTGGCGCACGTTTTTTCTACGAGCCAGCAGCCACCGGTGTGCGCGAGCACACGCAACGAAAATGACGTCAAAGACCTCCATTCGCGCTTAAGAGGACAGTGAAATGTATGGGCTTGGGGCCAAAGGATAATAAAGACAGGCTTTTCATCTCCACAAGTGAAAGCTACGTCCTTGTTACAACAATTAATCGCTTAACTTTTACACCAGACACCACGGCGTAGATGAAAAACTCGTCTTTATTCTCGTTTGGCCCGAAGCCCATACATTTCATTGTCATCTTAACCGCGAATGGAGGCTTCTGACGTCATTTTGGTTCCGTGTGCTCGCGCTCACCGGCGGCTGCTGGATCGTGGAAAGAGCGTGCGCCACTTATTATGGACACTAAATTCCTTGGTTCAGTATCCCTTTAATAGGACAGTGTAAAAACGGCATTCGTACAACGCCCAGCGCGCACCAGTTTTCTAAAAGTTTTGGCATAAGTTAGCTGAAACACCCTGTATGTATAATTCGATCGCCGTGTTTTTATCCACTCCCATCTCAAGCCCATTATTTTCCTACTAGCGGAATAGCCCTTCTGATTCGAAACGTTGACGCCTTTATGGAAACGTTTTCACAATCATACATCGTGTTGTGAGTCGGAAGTCAAGCCAAAACGTCAAGCCAAGAGAAGCCCAGAAGTCAACAGCTGTTCGCACTCAGAGCGCAACCTCCGATAGGGTATTACTACCAAAAACGAATCACATCCATGATCGTTTCTTCCACCCTCGAGTGACACTTCATATTTAATTATTTATCTGTCCTTGAATATGCTAGGTTATATTCTACCAACAATATAAAAAAAGGAAAACAGCGAACAAGAAAGACTTTTTTTATATTAGTCGGTATGAAAATACAGCACACGTGCTTAGTTTCAGCTGTGAGCTCACTGAGAGTAATGATCACAATTTTTAACAGCGTTAACCTTCGAAAAAAAGTATCTGTGCACGCTACAAGAAAAAAAAAGAAGTATGCGGTCACGCTGCAAGTTTATGGCCAGCGTTGGTCAGCTGTCAGTGGTCGGGCACCGAGCATGAACAGCCACCGAGCTCTTGGCTCAGCTGTGCGCATGTGTGGCTCGCGACACCGGATAGCGCTGCGTCTGCCAGATGGCGCCACAAGTACGAGAGGCCACACGCTCCGCTGGTCCATTTCGTTCCGTTGAGCAATGTACCGGGGCAGTTCCTGGAACACATATTGGACTGGTGTGTTTATCGTCCTATGCCGCCAATACATCAAAGGAGGTCCCGGTGTGCCAAGAGAAGACGTCACAGTAGACGTCGTTCCAGGCTGTCGGATGTCGCAATCGTGGCGGTTGGCGCTAGAAACCTCGCCAAAAAGTACGACTGAACGGGTGTGTGTTTGTCATCCTGGAGTCCCAACTCCCGACTGTCGAAGCTTCCTTGGACTGTCGAACTGATGGGCGACCGGCAACAGAACTGGCCACATTAACCACCGCTGATGCGACACACCCAGGATTGCGGCGGGCCTGACACTTTTATTACATCATCAGACGGGGATTGAAGGACAAGGTTTCGTAGACGCAGTAAACACACGGGTCGAAAACGTGGTCGAGGCATCGTTCTATCGGTTCCTAAAGTAGCATAAACGTCGCTTGTTAAGCGAGCGCTAAAAAACTAAGATCGAAGAACAAACCTGCCCTGACCCTCATCCTCTCGCTTATTCCTACCAGCCGCATCGGCCTGACACTCCTGAGTACATTCTCTCAAGGTGAGAGCAGAAACAGGACCATGCGTAAAAACGGCGTCGTGGAAACTCTATAATATGAAACGTCCGCTGGATGAAACGACTGCTAATCGCCAAGAAATGTAGTTTAGTGTAACGAAATTATCTAAGTTGATACTGAATCACCTGTCAAGTGTAAACATCAATGTCGCAGAGCGCTTACCCAAAAGGTGTACTCGGTGGTCCAAATAAGCTAGAAGTCAGTTGAGACCGAGTTTGAAGTTCCGTCGAATCCGAAACTTTGCAGCTGCCGCGACACGTTCACGCGGAGACGCAGGAGCTTACTGCGAAGCGTCCGTATAACGAGCGATAAGCGAAGCGATAGTGAAATATTTGCTCTGCACTACTTCTACATTCCTCTCTGCCTCTTATCAAGGAACGCTTGATTAGGTGCGGACGGCAGATGTCTGAAGGAAAGCGATATTAGATACGGCTGAACAAAGGATTTCTGTAGATAGGGCCGCGAGCGAAAGCCCGATTCCGCATAAGTTTCACAATGGCAAAGAGTGTGCATTACGATTAGAAACACTTTTGCCCAAACTTTATCATTCAAATTCCAGATATATGTAGTATGCTTCGTTTCAGATTCAAGGCATTGTCTTCTAAAATTTTCTGTCCGATATTACGTCGTCTGTGCAATATATGAATTTTATATGTCCCACGGCACGAGTAAGTGAATTTTGAGCTTCTCCAATCGCATTCTAGGGTAAAGGGCGCCTTCTCTGGCAATACTGAAACTCTGTCGTCACATGACGCAAAGCGAGCATTTCCGTCTCAGTTTGCCCGCAAGTGCAGTGGCGTCACTAAGGGCGGGAGGGGGGAGGCAGGCCGACGCGGGTGGTGCAGTGCTCAGGGTAGTACAGCAGGGCAGTGAAAGGGGGGGGGGAGGAGCGGGAGGGTGGACGGGCCACCACCTTGGGTGCCGCGGACATTAGTGACGCCGCTGCCGCAGAGTGCTTCCTTTTGTTGCGCTCGTCTTGTTTCATGGATGGGTGAGATTTTTGTTGCGCGGTTGGGTGCCACAACGACAGGGGCGGATCCAAGGGGAGGGCGGTGGAGGGGGAGGGGGCGACGGGGCGCCCTCCCCCACCCCCCCCCCCCCCCAGCAAAGCCGACACCCCCCTCCCCCCTCCTCGGAAAGCGATTTGACAGGGTGGACCCCTTTACTCCCCCCCCCCCCCGGAAATAAAACCGACTACCAGCCTGCCAGGCGGTAGAGGGCTCGGTACTCGAGGAAAAGGGTTCAAGATAGGGTAGGTCGCACCCTAGCAGGCAAACTTGTACTCCGAACTTGAAGAACCACTCCGTCGCTTCAACAGAGACTGAAGTCCGCGGCGGCGGTTTCAATGCACGGCTTGGAGCCAAAAAGTCGGCGCAGTGTGGTTCTGTGGCGGCCAAAGTAAAAGGCGCAACGGGAGTCCTGTTAATGCTACTTTAGATCCCCCCCCCCCCCCCCCCCAATTTGCCCCCCCCCCCCTCCCAAGGGAGTTCTGGACCCGCCCTGAACGATCGGGCAGCATCTGCGATCCGCGAGATGTGCCTTCCCGAGCAAAATGGATTGTCGCCGTGCGTAGAGAGCATACTAGGATACGCCAGCTAGGGAGCGACCTAGCTGGTATGATTACAAGTATGAATAACCAACCTGCTCAGTTTCAGGCAATCACAGCGTAGAGAGCACCGGGTTCCCGTCAAGATCAAGATCCCGCTTTTGCACCAATCACTTCATCAAGAAGAGCTACGAGCCGAGTTCTAAACTGACAGAAGGCTCGTAAGCTGAGGCGTGATGCTGTGCCAACGATATTTAACTACATCTACCCACTCCTCGCCCAAATCGAGTCAATCGATTTGATTATGCATCGAAGCCGAAACCAAAAGCTCGGCCATCTTGAAACGATGCCAAGTTATATTTAGCACGCGTGCAGCCCTATTGCGTTTGACCCGCGTGAGAAAATGGAGCGTGGCTACGATTCACCAGGCCGGTCCGAGTCAGGTGTACGATTTAGAAATATTACATGCATTTCGGACGATTCGCCGTTTGCTTTTGACTCGAGGGCATCGCCTCCGAGGGAACGACCCGCAGCCGCATCACCGATCCATCGAATCCGCCAATATATGTGGACCCAGATGCCGCTTCAGCGGCAAAATCTGCATCCTTCTCTTCGGAGCGCTCCGTGTTCGAACGGTGGCCGTCGCAGTTGTGTATACGCGAAATGACATACGTTTGCTCGAAGCTACCGGCGGTTTTCGAGTAATTTCCTGCTAATAGGAGCGACTTCTTTTGCACGCGCTCGAGAGCTGCATTACGAGAAACGCATTTCAGCAGGGTACAGCCTCACACTAAATATTATAACACCCGTAATCGTGTAAAAATGGTGTAAGGGTGTAAGTTAGGAAACACACCCTTTTAACACTTTTATACACGATTTCTGAATATCGGTGGGTGTAAAAAGGGTGTGGTGAGGTTTTACACCCCTTACACGCCCTTTTTACGCCCCACTTGTAGCGCTGGTGTCTGAAATCGTGTAAAAAGGGTGTAAGGGCGAATTTTCCGCCCTTCATTCACATGGTGTGAAAGGGGCGTTATGGTGATGCAGTCAAATACCCGCGTGATTTCACATTCGTTGATGTTTATTGCTTTGGTGTAACTGTTGCTGAATTACCCCCGGTAACAAACATCCAGTATAATTAATCGCCACACCAGGTCGCGTATGATTAGACGGTGCTAGAGAATAGTTTTTGCAACTCCGGACTTTTCGTGGTCCAAGCAGGGTGAGCGGTAAAGATAAATAACGCTACACAAAACAATAGTTGCACATAGAACAGGAAAACAATGGCGGAAAAGTGCTGCACCGAGATGCAAGATATACAAATAATGAATATATCAAAATGTAGGAAATCACAAAGTTATAACAATGACCCTGAAGAAACATTGCCGCAATTGAGCCCTTAGAGAAAACTAAGACGTTTAAAATATACCATATTCGATTTTGAGTGTATTTCAAGTACACTTCATATCTATAAGTAAACTCAAAATATGCCTAAAATACAAGTGCCTTTTTTTTAACTTCATATTAAAATATATTTCTGAAAATCATTTCAAAATACCCTTATTTGAACTACATTTGAAGTACTCGTCATGCGTTCTGAAATACGTAAATACTAAATTAGTAAACACAAAATTCCTTTCAAATAGATTTCTGAAAATATGAATTTAGTTCATGCAAAATATACTTCAACCTTAATAAAAATGCAGCGATCAAAATTATGTGCAGAATGCACCTAAAACATACTGGAAATCGTAAATACTGTTGTGTTACAATCAAAGTATCTTTGGACTACAATTACATACAAAATGAACTCAGTTAAGCTACCAAAGTATTGAAAACTCGCCGATCACTTCAAGCAGATGTGTAGTTCACTGAAGTGCTTAAATACAATGTTTGATTAGCTTGTCAGCTGAGTTATGAAGCATCGCACTGATAAATCAGCCCAGTTTATGTCATTGTTTTCTTTTTTCTATCAAGAACGCCCCTGATGAGTTTCTTGCACACCAATCACAAACAGGATTCGGGAACTACAACCACAACACTTGCTGGCGCTGCAAAGCTTCAGCAAGTGCTGTATGCAGATGTTTGGCGTGGTTGTGTTAGCAACATGTTAGTTCACTGAATGTGTATACTAACCATTGTACATGCTCTTGATAAGTAGAGTGCGAATTGGCAATATTAATCTAATGTATTACATTTGGGATTAAATCTTTGCAAAACTCTAAATGCTTGAACCTGATGTCTGTGGGCCATTCAGTTTAAATCGAAAGCAGGCAAAAACAGCTTCTCATTGAACCCTCTTGAAATGGAAATACATTATGTTTAAAGCAGGAATAGGAATATGTGCCCTGTAGTACTGTCGAGTAAGCACAAGCACACATTCCAATAATCAAAGAATCTTTATTTTGTTTCCTAAGCAGAAGACAACCAAAAAACAATCATGTTTATTAAAACATGTACACAGAAAAACATAATATAGCAAGCACTTAGCACACAAGAAGATAGCTCTCCCCATTTATGTACAAATGAAAGTTCGAGCCACTAGCAACCCAGCTGCCTTCCTCAGCACGGACCACAGCTAGGAGCTAACAAACAAGTCTATACTTGATTAAGAATTTAATTATCTAGCATGTATATCATCACAAGGCACAAAGTGCTAGCCAAGCTGAGTGATAAGGGAGATCGACCATCACGTGATAATAGCCATTATACGAAATTTTCATATTTTCAATCTTACACTGTATGGTTATACACAACTAGAGAGGCAGAAAGTCTTCTAAAAACTGGGTACTTAATAATAACATTGCAAGCTTTCATGACCGGTTCTAATTTCGCTACACACAACAAAAACAAGGACATAGACTTTGTTATACACGTGATCTTGTTTGAGAAAACTGTGAACTGGATATTGACAAAAGCTCTTGCTCTTTCCTGTGATGTTTTTGAAGAAGGAAATAGAAAAGATGCCTACACAGTAAACCCCAAAGTGTATCCCACTAAAGCTCTAAGTGTTCCTGGAGGACAACATTCATGGGGCTTGTTGAATTTATCTCTGGCAGGATTTCTTTTAATTAGTCTATTGGGTTGGGTTTTGTTTATACAGCCTATAACATGGTCTGCCTCAACGGGCGAAGAGTCTCCCAGCTGTAGATGAGCAATTTAGCCTGTGCAGTACAGTACTGCTAGCCTGAGGTCTTAAACGTGCACCATGCAGTAGTGATACATGACCGCACGCCGGTGCGATGCTCATCCAGATCAAAACGCACAGGGGTGGATTAAACCCAGGATTTATGGGTTCAACTAACCAGTTCAGCTAACCAAACTGCATTCCTCTGCGCTTAACAGTGGAAGTGCAAAAACATGGAGTGGTCACACGCACGATGAGATTCCTCCTTCGCAGATGTACCCCGTTGCTAGTCAACAAAAACAATGTACAGTACGTAGGCAGCAATATGAGCTGGAACAGTAACGTTCTGGCCGGAGAGAGAAAAATGTCATGCAGAGGAATGTGTTAAGCGCGAAACACATGTACGACGAAACCGTCCGATCGGACGTGCGGACTGCCGGAATGACCTTGGGGGGCGAGGGTTTTCGTAGCACCGGAGAGCGTTGAAAACCCTCACCTCCGACTGTCGTATTGCCTGATCGGACGTCGGATCGGACGGTTTCGTCGTACATGTGTTTCGCGCTTAAGACTGTAAAAAGGAAAAGTGCAATGGACTGCCATATTGCTTTTTGTTCCATTGTGCCACTAAGTTACGTGGCTTGGCACGCGGGGGACTCCCACTCCTGTATTTTGTTCACTTTGATTAACCCCAACTGTGTCAGCTCATATTGCTGCCATCTGGACCATTTGAATCGTCCAATTACTATCGCTTTTCTTGAAGGTCAACTCCTTGTTCGTGAAGAAATGGTGGCTTTCCGAAAGCAGCGGGAAAGAAAAAAGAAAAGGCAAGGCAACCAGCATTGCCAGTAGAAGTCACCAGGCAGTCTGAGAGCCTAATCAGTCTGGTCTGCGATGCAGCTTCATAGAATTCGGTCAAGTGAGACGATCTTCTGGTAATACTTACTACGAGCATCATAAAATTTTTTATTTTTTGTTTAATACATTTTAGGTTTAAAGAGCGTTAAAGGGGCCCTGCAATCCTATTTAAGCGTCTACCTTTTTTGCCGTTTCCACATCTCTTGCGGTTTGGGCAACCCAGAGGGCACGGAGAGAGCAACTAAATATCAGTGCGTCATATTTTAACCGGACGACGTGGAAGCCTTCTCCACCTATAGAGGCGCCCCATGGTACCGAACGCACATGGTGACATTGTGACGTTATCGGTCCTGGCCAGCTCCTGCCTTAGAAATGGTCAGGGTCACTAAAAGCTTTATTTTAGTGGAAATACAAAATATAAGTGGCATAAACTGTTTCAATTATTTATGAAAGTATTTTTTGTTCAGTATTTTAGATCAGAAAAGAAACAAATGCAGTTTATAAAGTACAAACACAAGAAATGACCCGTTGACATACCCGCTACCAAGCAGTGGAACAGGCGGCACATACTAGAAAGGGGTAGCGGAATCAGGGGCCAACGCCCGCGCCAAGCATTGCTGTGAAGCGGCGAGCATAGAACGGGCAGATCCAGAACTCTGTTTTGGGGGGAGAGGGGGGGGCCGAAAATTTGTAAGGATGCTATTCTCAAATTCTTTCATGTGCACCGGGGGGTCCGCCCATGTCAAATTTCCCTCCGAGAAGAGGGAGGGGGGGTCGACTTTGTTTGGGGAGGGGTGGCCGCCACCCATCCCCCCGCCCCCCCCGCCCCCCCGCCCCCCCCCCCCCCCCCCCCTTGGATCCGCCACTGGCATAGAAAGGTGCCGGATGAATACGGCGGCGCTGCGGTCGTATGGGCAGGGGGATCGACCAGTTCCGAGTGTCCTGAAGGCCTTCGGCAAGCAGGTTTGGCTTGCAATTTGGCCGTTTGGTGGTTCGGCAGCATGAAGCGCCTCCCGTTCTCAACTGATCTTTACCCCTCGTTTGCTGTGGTTTGTGGCCAATCAAGTGTCATGCTGAATTGGCATTTAGTCGCGCAGCAAATGCAATGCGAGCCACCCTGGTTGCCCGCTTCATCCAGCCTATCCAGCCTATGCTTTAGTGGCGCTCTCTCGAGCCGTTGACACGGAGTGCGGCAGCCCTGAGCACTCGCTGAGCTCTCTACCCCTCCTCTACCCAAGCCAGGACTAGGGACGTCATGAAGGAGGTTGTTTTTTGCTTGTTTTTGCAAGTTTAATTTGCCTATAACTTGTAAAATAAAGCAATATTCAAGAAAAGAAAAGTTACACTAAGTTACTATGTTCAGTATGCTCAGATTCGGTGTAAATTTAAAAAAAAAAAACAGTCAAAAAGTCGTCGCAGGGCCCCTTTAGAGTGATGAGGTTTATGAATATCTGACGAGCTATACAGGTGACTGCAACCAAGATATTCCCCCCAAAATTTGGGTTCAGCATCCCACTTCTGGCTGGAAATTATTATGAAAACACATGCTCATGCTTTGTTCCTAAAAAGATTCTACTATCTGTGGAAATTTAGTTCTTGGAGCACACTTCTGTTATCATACACACTCAATCACGCTCAACTTGGTTGGGGAGGGCCACAACAAGGAAACTTGTAGTGGTTCGCTCCATAACCACACACTTTCTCTTCAGAGTGTCAGGACTGCATGCTGTTACCACCCCTGCTCGTGTCCCCTCTCGAACAGCTGAGAAGCAAATACCGAGCTGATTGTCCCTGAAAGCAGCACTCCGCACCAGCTCGAGCTTCTCGATAAGCACTAAGCACTGGGGCTGCTGGTGCAGAGGGCTCCCTTCAAACACAGCGAGCGCTTGCAAAATTCCAATGGAACCATCTTGAAGCTCAGCTACGCAGTTAACTCTCTTAGGCATGCAATAGCTCTCCGAGTGCCACAGAATCCCGCCACACTGAAAACGGTGGTAGTACTTGACTTGTGGTGGCAGGACTCCCAGGTGATTCTCCAACACAACCTCCATCCTAATGTTGACGCCAGAGCAACTCTGACGTCGGTAAACAACTATGCCGCCAGGGAGCTTTACCCCACTCCTCCCCATAGTCTGCCGACCCACCATCCTTTCAAAAAATTCCCTTCCTTCAGGCATCTCTATCCTCTCTGCCCAGAGAACAAGGTTCTGCCACAAAATAAAAGTTCTGGCAATCTGCTCAGCGACAGACTGTGTGCCTGCAAAGTAGTTGAGGAGGATGGCATTCCGCCCTTCAAAAGGAAAGCAGGACGTCGCCCACAGCGGACCCCAAGCCTCCACAGAGTCTGTCAGGTGAAGGAGCTGGTGGACATTGTATGACACATTGGTCTCGCCATACAATGTCCCCATCTGCACCACAAACTTCTCTAGCAGAGCCCGTGCCTCCGTGAGGTCACGCTCTGAAATATCGTCTTTCAGCAACAGGTACATCCCATACGAAAGTAATGAGAAGTGTCTAAAAAAGGTTAGTGGCAAAATGGGCTTCAACACGATGTAACCATAGAAAAGCATCAGTGCCCGCAACTCCGACGCTTTCCAGTAAGCTCTGTCTTCGAACTTCCTTGGAGTGCGGGTAATCTCTGTCGGTGGGGAGAGAGCCAGAAGCAAACCGTTCAGTTGTGGCAACTTTGTTCCGATATACCACGGACACTCGTGGTACTCACTCTCTAGCCACAGTTTGAGCAACTGACGCATAACACCAAGGCATGCACAGTGTTGGTAGTCCGGTATAAAACCGTCTACCACATCAAACCGAGGAAGGGTCATTGCAATGCAAGGGCCTTTCACTCCATTGGCGGGCACTGAGGAGGTACCACTTGTTGCCTCTTCCAGATGCTTGACAGCTGTCCTGCGCTCTGGAGGAGGGTCCAAGTACTCATAGCTGGAACCCCCTGGGTGGTAACACCAGCCACAGCCATAAAAGCCGTTAAACTGTTTACAGTTCCGCACTGCAGAGCGAGCAATGGCGTCCACCGAGCATGCAGCTGCGAACACTCTTATGTGAACCGTTTTTCCATCTTTCACGCAAGAAAATCCTGTAGAAAGCTCTTGCAGTTCCTTCGTAAAGGGTGTCAGGAGAGTAGTCATGTTTGGCTTACAAAACCCAAACCACAGGGCAGGCATCAACATATTCTGTTTCCGCACTGCAGGGTCCAATTGAAGAATTTCGCACTGAACAGGCCAGATATCAAAGCTTGATTTCTCAAACACCCTGATCCCATCTGTATTCCAAAGCAGGGAGATGTCATGAGTTGAGAAATCAGCCGAAAGTCTGGCATGTTCAATGCCATCCTTTACGTCTCCAATCGTGTTCCTAGCTCCGTTGCTTTGTGGGAGCCATTTGAGGTTTTGCTGTGCTAGGATCCGTTCGATTTGCTCCTTCAGAGGCATCACAAGAAAGAAAGGGCAAGACACTATATCTACATCCCGTTCACAGTTTTCGCAATGAGCCTGGCCCTCAGGGGTTGATTTACCTAAATACCCTAGACAATCCATGCAGTAAAAATGCTTCTCTGCACCAGGGACGTCAGCTCCTAAAGTCTTCAGAAGAAGGTACTTTGATGTTGGTGCACGACCGGGGGTTATGATGCTCTGCATATCCAAGAGATCTGCGATACCCTGATCGCTCACCCTGTGCCGCATCACATATGCCATGAGAAGGGCTGCAATTTGTTTCTTTTCGTCAACGAAACCTTGGTTCTGAAAAAAAATTAAATTCACAATTATTAAACAGAAAACTCCTTGCTCTTACTCAATTTACACAAAATACACTAACATGAGAGGACAAAATTGTGTGATTCATTAAAACTAAAATGTGCAAAATTTACATCCTTGTGGTGCCCAGTCTGCGATATACGAATCATCAGCATTTTGGATGCTAAAAGTGAGGCAATCTATCTCAAAGTAAGAAAGCCAAATTTTGATTAATATGACACTAAGTTTGTGATAACTGCCTGCCTGCATGGCACGGGCAGGCAGCATTAAGAGCACAAGGTTACAAATATTTTATTCAGGACTGCAAGGCAGAGTGATTGCAACATAAGAATTAATGATTTCACATGACTTGTAGTATTTTGTAGGTTTGATGACTAGTATTAAAACTTTTATTTTGTTTTCAGGGCTCTCTGGAGTATTCTTTGTTGCCAGTATGTAATAAGATGACCATAAGATAACATGACCCCTATTTATGCTACCGTCATGTCATATCTAACTGATTTCATTCCACAGAAAAACAATACCTAAACTTAGTCGTCCACTACAATGATTCAAGATCAAGCACACAAATTATAGGTGAGTGTGGTCACGAAAGACAAGGCTTATTTATGTCTTATTTAATTAGAGTGCCCATTTAATAGTCAGATGCTTTTACAATTTTGTGCACTATTAGCCTTGTAACATCAATGCTATTGTTCTTTTGCTCAAACCCTTGTTTACTGAACCGATAGTCTATTGACCGGAATGCTCTGTTCAAAGTTGCTGTCCAGTTCGCTTTAAACTTAACATTGCATTTACTGCCTTCTAAACAACCAGGGATGTGTTCTGCTTCTGCCCTCATGCACAAAAGGTGCACATGACCAAGTAATATTCTGCGGCTTCATGTCCGTCCAGCCTCAGCTAAGACTGCCCTCATGACTGTAATTAGCCGGCTCCACCTCTCGACACGTTGGTGGTATGATGCACTTTCAGCAAACAGACCGCCCTCAGTAACCATTTGACGCATGCTTCATGCCATCAGAACTTCAGTCCACTGGAGGCAGACGGCAGTGCTCGAGACATGTTGTGATGTCTAGTACTCTATTCGCGCAGGCCTGCAGTGGGATAGTAACTTGTGCAGGAAAGCTGAAGCTGCAGCAAAGCATCCCAGCAGAGGCAAGTGCCTGGGTGAATCAATCTGTAAGCTTTTTACACCATCAAATGTTTTGCGAGCTCATGTATAGCCGAGTTCCATGAGCAGTGCATCAAACGAATAAGGAGCTGAATGTGCTCAATTGCCTTTGCATTGTATCAGGGACACTTTCTACATACTGGTTCGAAATCAAACCTTGTACACACTTCTCTTTGAGTACTGCTATAAATGTTGAAAAAAATATTGTTTCATTGCTGAACCAAAAAATGTAGCTGCAAGCATGGAATGCTTTAGGTGTAATGGGTACTGTGCAGGCCGCAGCTATTGAAACTTGTATCTTTTTGCTAGAGGCAGGTTCTCAATATCTGGCATCTTTGAATTGGTTGTTCTCTTTAGGAGAAAAATGTAACCAGTCGTGGTTAAACTTTTTACTGTCCTAGTCAATTTTCTTTTTTCGGAGTGCACACATACTCCACGCGTAAAACAAAACAAACATCAACAATGCTTACTTGATCATCCTCCATCTCTTCAGAATCTGTGCTGTCTGCATCAGTTTGTGGTAGCGAGGGTCCTGAGACTTCATCCTGATTTGAAGAAGCAGAAGCATACAAGCTTATGGATCCACAGGCTCTCACACAGTGGTGCATTGGTCTAGTTTGTTTTTCCAAACTATTATGGCAGGCCACAATGTTAGCAATCTTGTTACAGCCGATCAAAACATAGGAGAGACAGAAAATAGACAGGACGACATCTTGAGACGTCGTCCTGTCCGTTCTTTTTCTACATTCTGATGTTTCTTCTCTACCCCAGTCTGACGTTAATCCAACATGGCTAAAAATCAGTGCCCGCCAATACCGTTTCAAGGCAAAAAACAAGAGCGCCTTTGTCATGTTTGTACTTCCTTGTCTCTAGGCGCACCCCAGAAACACATCAACAATGCTTACTTGATCATCTCCCATCTCTTCAGAATCTGTGCTGTCTGCATCAGTTTGTAGTAGTGAGGGTCCTGAGACTTCATCCTGATTTGAAGAAGCAGAAGCATATACAAGCTTATGGATCCACAGACTCTCACACAGCGGTGCATTGCTCTAGTTTGTTTTTCCAAACTATTATGGCAGGCCACAATGTTAGCAATCTTGTTACAGCCGATCTTAAGGGTGGCTGACATCTTTAGGTGAAATGTTGGCTGCCACTTTGATGTTGACAGACCAGAATACTGTTTTTCAGCCAGCTTGAAGCACAAAAATGCCTTACACAAATTGTGAACTGTCGTGGTTTCACTGAAACTAAATAGCAAAGTTTTTGCCACGCACCAGCACAATTTTTTCTGTGAACCGACATATGCCTACTTTAGCTGTACTCGCCAAGTATTACAGCCATCCTTTTTTTTCACATAATGTTCAGATGAGGATTTCTACTTTTATGCAATCCAGACCAGAACAGTTGCCTAGACACTTACTCTTCTACACATGCCAATGCTACTGCATGTATACCAACATGATGGCATCTGCAAACTGTGCATGAAACTTTTGCAACATGTTTAATGAGGTATGAACCCCTCAAGATGACGAATCCAGACAAATGATGACATTCAAGTTTGCTAGGTGCAAAGAAGAAACAGATCTCAAGTTTACTGATATTGCCACGTGCTTTACCGGGCAAGCACTTCTGTGGCCAAATGGTTATCGTGCTAGGCTGCCACGTAAAGGGGCCAAGGTTCGAATCCTAGGAGCAGACAAGCCTTTTTGTTAACCCTTAAAATAATGTTCTTGTAAATTTCGAGAAGTTTGTTTGTTCAAGGTCGGAATATTCTACTTGCCGAACATTCTACATCGATTGTTCGAGAAGCCAACGCGTAAACATAAGGGGCCCCGTTTGGCAATCCGAAATCAATCTCACCCAAGCGCTCGACACTGCTCCTGTGCCGCACAAACATCTGTGACGCTATTAAGTTCACCTTATTAATTGTTCAGTTTCTTTCGTTCTTCCTCGCCTCTTCATCAGTCATTCATGGCAATATTTACTGAAATTCAAGTAACATCACCTTAATTCTTAAGAGATTCATTATAGCAGTGACACAACGAATGAAATCAATCTGTTTCAATATAGACCCAAAGATCACAATCTTACTTGTTCAGCTGCCAGCTCTTCTGAAGGAGACCCCTCCACATCTCCCTCCGGTGGCAAAGAACATCCTGGTTCGACCTGGTTTGGTAAAGGCAAAGCTATTCAGTTCAATATTTTTCCACGGAACATAACATGGCTTATGCGAAGTCCCGATGCTACTGGACGATCACCACTCGGCATTAGATGGCCTACAATCAAGTCACCAAATAATTTACCTTGGTCCTAAAAGTAAATTCGGATGCACACAAATGTCCAGTCTGTCTACTAAAATTTGTTCGCACCTAGGATCAGGGTACAAACCATGACACCGTTAGTACAAACAAGTCACCGTCAGTTTTTCTGTCCCTCTCTTAGAGTTGAAAAGCTGTCGGCCAAACGACTTGAGTCATTTAAAGTGCTTGTTTGAGGCAGCAACCTCAGAAGTAAAAATAGGTGAAAATATAGTAAGGGTGCAGGCGAGCTGGTGAATATTAACCATGTTAAATTAACCTGAAACTGGGGTAGAGAAGAAACATCAAAACATAGAAGAGACAGAAATTAGACAGGACGTCTTGAGACATTGTCCTCTCTGTTTTTTGTCTCTTCTACCATTCTGATGTTTCTTCTCTACCCCAGTCTGAGGTTAATCCAACATGGTTAAAAATTGGTGCCCGCCAATACCGTTTCAAGGCAAAAAACGAAAAAGCGCCAATGTCATGTTGGCACTTTTTTTTTTTTTTTGGTGCAGAAAGAAGGTGAAAGCAGAGTTACACTTTAGTTTGTCTTACCCTAGAATGGGCTAACTGGAAATAAAATGTGCAAAGGGTGCCTCCCACCTATGCTCGAGAGCTCCTTATTCATGACTGTAGGAGCTCCTCGAGAGCTCCTACAGTCGTGCTGTGATTAAATGCAGGGAGCTCGCACTCATAGCCTTTTTTCAGAGTAAAGTTTCACCGTGGAGTATGAAAGTCAGTAAAAAATCTTTATTTTTGTTACTTACATCCCGCAAATAAAAAACTATGTTTCATTCTACTTTTATGGAGACACACAAACGGTTGTCAGGCACTAGGCGAGCACTGCTACTTCAACTGTATACTAGTATTGATCACAACGTGACATTTTCAATTCGCCTGGTTGCAAAACCTAATGATTTTCTCGTTCTAAGTCGATAAAGGTATCAATATTGTTTGAGGAAACTAAAGTTTTGGAGACGTCCGTGTCTATCGCATATTTTAGGATTTCTGAGCATTTCACCTGTTTTCTTATTCACTGCATTTAAAGGTATGTCGGACAAACCCGGGACGTGGATCTAAAGATACGTTGGACATCGCCACAATGGGAAAGGGTTGTATTCAGGGTGTGGAGTACTCTAAGCGGAGTGGCTGAGGAAGATCTCTTGACGCATCTTTGAGCTTTTTGGCTGCAGCAGTGAGTACAAAACCACAAAACTACGAAACATGTGCCATTGTAGAGGTGTGCATTGTGCAAAGCATGAAAAAGATTGGCGGGCCATGGTGTCTCGCCAGTTCCCGCCTGCCGATCTCTGAACATATATTTGTGTGGTGCAACGTGCCTTACTGAGACTATGTGTGCGAGACCTTTAACATAGCTTTTATCACTATATTTATCTCCACTGACGATTTTCATCCCATCTCTGTTTCTCATTACTATATATTCCTTTCCACCACCACCCCTTATTCCCAGTACAGAGTAGCCAACCAGAACTGGCGTTCAGGTTAACCTCTCCAGTTTTCCCTTCATAAACTTCTATGCCGAACCCTCTGCGATGAACCCTGAGCAGCAGTGTAGGGTGACCGCGGGCTGTTTGGGAACCTAGTTTGCAAACAGACTGCGGTCTTGCAAAGATGTGACTATTCTTATACCTCTTAACTAAAATATAGTGTAACTGTTTCTACTTTTCTTTCCCATCTGTCCAAGCCTACAACCTGAATGTCAAAGCAAGGACCGTACACTGTCATGTAAAATAATCATAGCTTTTCCCTTTCCCATCGTGGCTACGTCCGACATACTGTAAACGACTTAATTTTTGTGAATTTTGCAAATCGCCAACAATTTGCGAAAAATAAGTCCCGCAAACAATTTCGGTAAGATATAAGCACACTGGAATCTACATTGAGATTCCACTGCGTCACTAAAATTAGGACCCACAAATTATTTCAAAACTTCAGCTTTGACCTAAATCGTGAAATATTGAGCCCACGAAAAATAAATCGCTTAAAGTATCTTTAGACACCCAGTTCTGCATAAGTAGACACATCTTTAGGCTCCATTCGGGTTCCGGATACACCCAACAAACATTTAGACTCCAACTCAACTCCCACTCGTCCCCCATGAACCAAGCACCCAAAAACAACGAAAGGCAATGTAATCTGATGGCGCAGCTTACACCAGCTGCCAATTCGTGTATACTTTCAAAGGCACAGAAACTACTAAATGGCATGGCTGATAAGCGAGATTTGTCATTACTCTCATCCTTTTAGAACCCTTCGAGACAAACCACACGAAGTGGCAAAGCCCACCCAGCAGACAGTACCACTTGACCAGCGACATTAATGTCATAGGGGGTGTTGATGTCGCTAGTCGGGCAATATTCCCTGCGGGGTGGGGTTCGCCGCCTCACGTGGTTTGTCTTTTAGGGTTCTGGGTGGAAGGGGGGGGGGCCTAGTTTTTAGATCACAATGCATCTCGTAGTTCCTGAGTGCATTGTGCAAGGGGGGAGAGAGAGGATAGATCAGGGGTACGGAGTTCGGGTAAGGCCTGGGCTCAGATTGGGTCTACGTGTTGCACTCCTACACAAAGCATGTGACATCGTGGTACACTAACTTAAGCCTGAGCCTAAAGGCCTGTTCACAATCTTGCGACCGAGTAAGACCGAAAGAGTCCAGACCGGTTTTTAAGCCTCTTGCGATCTCTTAGGACGAGCTCCGCTGCAGCGCATCCGGTCCTAAGAAATCGCAAAAGACTTAAAAACTGGTCTGGTCTCTCTCGGGTCGCAAAAGTGTGAACGGCGCTTAACCCGACCCCCACCTCCCCACCTTCCTCTCTGTCCCCGGTAAACCACCCACCCAGAAACCATGAGCTGCAATGTAATATCAGTGGTGTTGTCGGATTATCTGCCAGCCCACAGCTAGCACCACGTAGCCGCAAAAAAATAGGACCTGTAAGGCCAGGCCTAGGACGGGGGCAGAAAAGGTGGAGCCAGGGAAGCTATGTTGCGCTTTTTGCACTCCCAGGAGACTAGGGAGAGGGAAGTGACGTCAACAACGCAGCAAATGCAGATTGGATGTTGATTTCGTTTTCTTCTGTCAACATCCAATCTGCATTTGCTCTAGTCGTTGACGTCACTTCCCTCTTCCAAGTCTCCTGGGAGTGCAAAAAGCGCAACATAGCACCCCAGGACACAGGGACAGTGATGAGATTACTGAAGAAAAAATTATGTTATCGGTTGCAATCCGGCTTTGCGTGACTGCATCACGATGCCTCCACCGAGGCCAAGACACCACAAAATTCAAGACCAAGACCAAGACTAAGCACCCCCCCCCCCCAAAAAAAAAAAAAAAACACCACGCACGCGCGCGCACACGCACATACACAACCCTTTGAGACGAACCACGCGAGGCCAACACCGTAGGGAGCAGCAACGTCCGTCCACCGCCTCGCCCCCGCCCTCCCCCTTGTGACGCCACTGGAGGGAGTACTGCGCGAGTGCGTGAATACAACTTACAGCACCAAAAAGCGCGTTATTTACTTCTTTGGTGTGTCCTGCTTCCTCGCCACTAGTGCAGTCGTCTTCCGAGACCTCGTCACATCGCGAGCTGTCGGCGACTTCAGAAGCTCCGATACCAGAGAAGGCCACAGTCGGAGGGGTCCCGGCAGCTAACGCTTGCATTTTGAAGCGCCGACTTTCAGTTTTTCTGAGCAAGGGCACATCCTGTTCGAGGTGGCGTTTGTACCTTGAAGGCATGGCCTAGCGTCTTTTCCTTGCTTTTTCCCAGTCACGGAGTCAGAAGGAAATGCACGCAGTTCCGTAAATACAAATCAGAGCGTCACATAGTGCCCTGGCACGTGCAAAACTGCACAAAGGAACGCCTGGGAATGCTGCAGATGTCCTACATATATCGTTAAGCCCTGCAAGTATCACACGAACATTGTCGATATTCCCATCAATAATACAATCTAGCACAACCGGTACAACCAGTACAACTCCCAACTGAAAATAGAAGGTAACTCGCGCCACCTAACTACTGTGTTTTAATTTTATCTAGCTACTAGGTTTTTTACACCAGGTTAAATTTCTATTTCCATTTTTAAGATAGATAGATTGATAGGATCTATCCAGAAATCCAAACCTCTGATTTATAGCCTTCAGCCTAGTGCTCAACGCTCACGTCTTGTGTCCGACCTGTCGAGGTCGTCAAGGTAGAGGTCAATGTTCATTAGGCCTACCAGTCCTCGTTATGAGAACAATGAATCGCGTTCGAAGAGATTGCAAAAAGGGGCGGCCTTTCGAGATTTTGGAGGCATATGTTACAGCCCTCCACCCCCAACCTGCACGTAGGCTCGAATTATAATGCAATTAAATGCAAAGGTGCAAGCCAGCTGGTCAAGAATGACGAAATGAAGGCTCGAGTTGTGCGCAGCAAAACTACACTGTAGGCAAACCGCGAGCGCGAGAGCACAGGTTTTTGCGGAATGCTCTGTTTGACCCAGTGCTCGCGGGCATTTTGGAAAGCAGCGTGCTCGCACCCGTGTCTTCTGCCTTCCTGCACACAGCTTATTGGGAAACAGTCAGAGTTTTAAGAGTAAGGAAATCAAAGGAAGTGTTGCTGAGCCGGAGGCTCGGCATGTCACCTTTGTTATTAGGAAAAAAAACTTGTGAACTGAAGTATATATGTGTTCTTTCTGAACTTTCTGCGGATGCTCATCCCGTTAAGGGTGGTTGAGGAATATCCTCTTGTCTTGAAAGACTGCGTGAGCTGCGCGCCATGATCTCGGCTACGTAGCGTATTCCGAGCCTCGATCTGACCCTTCGGACCCACTCCTAGCTGATAAGAAATGAAAGAAAAAAGAAAGCTGATGTCGAAGTGGTAAGGGATTAAACATAAGGAAGGGACATAAAAGGGGGGGGGGGGAGACGGACAACGAAGTAAGTTCCCAAAGAAATTGTCGTTTGTTCTCCCAGGCGAAAATTTATAACTGGGACCAGTTGTGCAGTTGGGCAGTCGGAAGTTAACCTGGGAGTCAGTGCGTCCTAAAAAGGTATACTGTCGGATATGTTGACAGCTGAACGCTACCTAATAATAATATGAAGTCATAAAACAAATACGGTACAAGGACAGACATGTGCATGCTTGTACAAACATAGATATGTACTGCAGCGTGCCTGTCCTTGTAGCGTATACGCTTTTGCTATCAATGAACAACAGGCTTGTTATAGTCATCAAACGGCACCCTTGTCGAATATCACGTCGTACCAAAGGAATAATGAACCCAATGGGTGTCATTAGCTTAGTGCGCGCACTCAAAGCTTGCGAACCTGCCACACAATACTTCGATCCTGCGCAAGCTTTTTAACGTGTACAAAAAAAAGGGTTAGCGAACGATGTTTTCGCGAATGGAGCTCGTATCCATCTGTGGTCGGACGCCGTCTGTGGTGCCCAAACGATTCGACAGTAGGGCCAGCTACCATTTCTGTTAATAGTACATTGGCCATGAAAGCCGCAATGCGTGAGCAGAACCAACACGCTCAATATTCCCAAAGATCAACGCTGCCGAAACGCCGTTCGATTATACTACCATTCATGTATCTTTGTAATGCTCCGTTATTTGGAGCACAGACAAAGGCATTTTGGTTTTTGGCCAATGATAAGGTTACACCACTGTGTGTACATCCGGTACTGACGAAAGGGATCATGCATTTCTAACGAATGTGGTAATTTGTACTCAGTTTAATGAGTGGTGTGCTTGTTTTGCAAGCAAGTTTGTTGTCATTGAACTGCGATGTTTTTTGTTTTTTTTTCTTTTTTATAAAACGTACAGTAATGAAGAAATAATCTCCCCCAGAAACAATAAGTATTTTCTTGAGGAGAACGAATAAAAAGGCAACATATAATTACGAATTTACAAAGATAACAAACTGGACGCTTTTTAGAATTTGGGGTGTGCAGACAACGTCGGTGGCAACGTTGGTACCCTTACAGCCATCGCTATCCAATCCAATCCGCAACCAAGCAGCACATGTGCGTTGTTCGCTTTGTTTTAACCTGAAGGGAAACGCCGGCAATGGACAAGTTCGCACTGTTCAGGTTTCCTGATGAGTCATTATCGGTAGAGTCCGTAAAGTTAATTAAATACTATGACCCAGTCGTAAAGCATAATTCCAAAACGTGGCCGGAATTCAGCGGTCCAACCCAGAAGAATAACTGGGTGAAAGTCAACTGGCCCGACGGGGACAAGAAGACCGGGCGGGCGACGGGTACGTCCAAGTTGCTGGCCGCCCAGGTCGTGAAGTTCAGCCGTAAGTATATATTTCCACCAAACTTTTTGAAGCATGTATCGAGGCTGCATGAAGTGCCATGATCAATTAACTACTGCGCGACATTGTGGGCGCGAACACGACATTGCCGGTTTCCGCAAGATATGGCATTGGTAGGGACCGAATTTTAGCGCTTCGGATTATGCCCCAGAAGAGCACTTGCTGTCACACGAGTAGAGTTGATCAGGGCCTTTCGATTCCATGGCAAGATCATTGGAAACCCACGACCGCTTGTTCGCGCTATCAGTCGCGCTGTGTACGGGTCCGCTGCATGGGTCTGTTTTGACCATGAGTACGTGTTAGAACCAGCTTCCACGGGGTTCATTTCGTACGACCAAACTTGTGTTGCTGCAACGGAAAAAGATGAGCACAAGTGATTATCGACCGGAGCGGCAAAATCGCGACACGCGGCGCTATTGTTCCCGAGCGCGCCGATAGCAAGATTACCGGGCACGTTTCATATTTTAAAGCGAAGATGAACGGCAGAAACAGCCCATCCCAAAGCCCGTATTTCGAAAGCTATCTTATCACTCGCTTTTCGACCGAGCGATGCGCCACCGCGGTTGCGCACTTGAGCCCGTTTATTTATTTATTTCCATTTTTTTTTTTGCGCGAGCGTTGTGAAGCGGCGGTATTTTCTTTATTGCAGTTTCCTCCTAAACTGACAATTTACTGCACAACAAATTGTCAAAGGCTGTGGGCGGCACTGCCCGCGTGACAGGGTAGCAAAGGTTTAAGAGCATGTGTAGTTCCCATGAATTCCGCCAAAAGGACGTGCCTGGCTATATGCCTGCCCCACACATTTTCTATAATTTTGAAGTCTGCTCCCTTTGGAGGCCATTGAAGCTTCTGTGTGCCCAGTTCTTCCAGCATCTCCTGCACTATAGCCTTGAAAGAAAAAAAGAAAAGGTTGTTTTAATTAAAGTCGCTAATTTGACTTGGAAAGATTTTACCTAGTGGCAAATTCCAGCCTAAGCCGCTTGTGGCTTCGCGTCAAGAGCGGCCTCTGGCAAGCCATTCTACTGCGGAGCCCGACCGAACCAAGGCATTCTCTGATGATAGACGGGGACACCTACAGGTTAAGTTCTCATGTCTCTTGGGCAGTAATAAAAGGATCACAGCCAACTGCAGTCACATCCCATCTGTCTTCCCCTTCCGTGGTCGTTTTTGGGTGCCCATTTCGAGCCTCGTCCCTAATCCTTGCCTCTTCGAGAAAAGCATGCACAATCGAGGTACGGTTCCTAGTGAGCACCTGATCTCTGCAGCAATACTCCTTTCATCCGACCGTCTTGCACAAAGGTCAAGATCTGAACCCTTGTCACATCGTTAACTCAAAGCATCCTACGTCGTTTTTGGCAGGATTCGTGGGAACTACAGATGCTTTTAAACCTTTGCTACTCTGTCATGCAGGCAGTGCCGCCCACAACCTTTGCCAATCTGTCGTGCAGCAAATTGTCAGTTTAGGGGAAAACTGCAATAAAGAAAATACCGCCGCCTCACAACACCTGAGCAATAAAATAGAAAAATGAAATAAAATAAACGGGCTCACGTGCGGAATTGCGGTGCTCCATTGCTCGGCCGAAAAGGGAAGGATAAGATAGCTTTCAAAATATGGGCCTTGGGATGGACTGCTTTCTGCCATTCATCCCAGCTTTGAAACATGAAACGTGCCCGGCACTCTTGCTATCGCCGCGCTTGGGAACAATGGCGTCGCGATCTTGCCACTTCGGTCATCGGTCACTTCTGCTAATCTTCCTCTGTTGGAGCTGTTTCACATAGGCAGTAGTAAACAGCTGTACATGGCTTGCTTATGACGTCATTGGGCTGTGCTGGAGGTTGTTCCGACTTGTTTTTGCTGAAGAGGCAAATGCAATAATGTAAAGTGATTGCTGCAGAAGCTACTCGCCCGGCAACAAGGCCCCCACAATGGTAGCTCAGGTGACGTCAATTTAAGCCATGCATGCAGCAGTATCATATAGAAATCCTGTGAACACCCACTGCTTAATTTTGAAAGTTCATAAATTACCGATTTTTTAGGCAGCTTTTTTTAAATCTGCGTATAGATAAGCTTTGTCTGTGTGAATCCAGCCGGCACATGAAAGCACTCAATCTCAAAAGCCCTGTGTCATATGCCCTGCCCTTTTTGCCTCTTTTTCCATGTATCCTGATTTCAGGATGCCTTTATAGTTTTTTAGTCTGAACAGCCTTGGTCCTGAATATGCCTTGGTCCTGAATATCAAAAATTTTGCAACAAGCGAAAGCATATGGGCAAGCTGGTTAGGATAAATCAGTCTAAATCCTGAGAGAAGGAAAGCTGAAATAACGGACAACACTATCCAAAATGTAGTGTCTATTGTATTTTTTTAACTGTCTCATTGTCTAGATCAGTGGTCTCAAACTCATTTGAGTGTGGGGGCCAAATAGCCCAAACTGGAAAGGTCGAGGGTCAACGTAAGCCGGGGGGGAGGGAGGGGGGAGGAGGGGGAGAGACCAACCTCGTTCTCTGTGCTTTGTGCAAACTGAGAGTTTTCCCAGCGAGATATTTAGATTTGATTCGTTTATATGACTACTTTGGGCCCTGATGCGATCACCAGAACTAAAATGACACCGCACTGCCAACGTGTTGGCATTTTGAATGGAACAAGAGCGCAAGCACACTGTTGTTCCCGTTACTCAATTCACGCAGGCATTAACAAATTTCTACATGTCTCTAAAATCAGTCGCTTAATTTGACAGTTGTTGCTTTCCTGACGATTTTTATTAACGTCCTGAACGAATAGTTGTATTTTAATTCTCTTCTCCAGCGGAATGCTGGAGAAGAGAGGGGGAAACCTCCTTCTCTCTTTAGCGTTCCGTCTGCTTCCTCCTCCCCGGCCCGTCTTACCCTCGCCCTTCGTTGTTAGGTTGCAACGGACTATAGATAGAAGAGCTTAGAAACTACAATAACCTCTGGACCTAGTCCACCTTCCATCAAAGCTCTGAGCTGAGGAACAATGTAGAGCAGTGTACAGTGCTCAGCAAGCCTGGAACACAATCTAAGGCCTCATTCACACAGCCGGCGTCTCGCCCTGTCCCGGCGAAAGCGCCGTGCCGAAAACGGGACGGTGCGGGGACGGAGGAGTGTTCGAACCAGCGGCGGCGCAACTGCCGACAGTGACTATAGGAATAGATAGATGCTGGCGGCTGTGCCCCCTTATATTGGGCGGTAGCTTGCGTCACCTAGCTTAGAAATCTTTCTGCACCTTTCAAATTCCACGTCGAACGTTTGGATCCCGTAAAACTGTATAACCGGTACGACCAACCTATTATTTCGTGCGCAATTTCACACTTCCCTCAATCTCTACTACCAATCTTGTAATCCCGTATTTATGGCTGCTTTGTGGCGGCGTCGACCACCAAATGCAGCGGACGATCGGCGTCGATGGTCGCAGCCACACCTGTTTTGTTCCTTGGACCTTGCGTTTTTGTCGCCGATAACGATCTGGCATGTTTCAAAACATTTTATTTGTCTCCACGTTTCGAAAAAAAACGACAAGACCCACCGCGAGCACGTTTCACATCAATCACTCCTTACGCCGCATTTCGTCCCCGATGATCAACGACCATATTTTCTTTCTTCGGCTGTTCTTCCTTAAAATCGCATTTACGTCCATCGCAAAGGAACCGATGTGGTCTCACCATTTCGAGCAGCAGCTCAGCGGTAAATCCAAATATCGTTATGCCCGTTGTTCAAGAGCCGTAAACATCACACAATGCGCCCGTCGTCTCTTAGGCCTCCTTCCTTCCCGAAAAGAGCTTTGTTGGCTTCGTCGTTAGGGCGCTAGGGCACAGTACGGTCAACTCTCTCTCCCGCGGCCGTGCCCATGGTCACCCAACTTTTGAGAATCCGCCAGATCCAGCGAAAGTTTCCTATTTTGTGTTTGGTCGTCCCTGGACGGGGCGGGGTGCCGTTGATCTCAACCTCTCGCCGGTGCCGTGGACATTGAACATCCTCGTTGGGCCCTTTTCGGGTCTGGTGCCCTAATTTCGGCCGGAAACCGGTTCCAACACCCTCACCCCCGCGGAAAAGACTGCCGGCGTTTTCGCTGGGCTGGGGGAAAAAACGGCGGTGTGAATGAGGCCTAAGCCTACTCTTGGTTTGTTCTATTTTATTTTTTTTTTCTATGTGTCCGTGCATAGCTTGTGCTAGTCCTAAGCTATTTCTCCTTCTGTCCCACTATGTCCGTAGCGTACCTTCAGTTCACATAAATATGCGCAGTTCTCTCGTATTTTATCTTTTTTCTGCATTTAATATTCCACAAGTATTCCGTATAAGTTTGCAAAACACTGAACAATGTGTTCAGATGGGATTATTTTGGGAGAAATCCTAATATGTATATTCTTGTCAGCAATCCGCAGTGACCTGGAATCTTTGTTGAATGAGATGCTGGCCGCCACAAATGGGGATGATGCCTCATCCAAAGTTGCCAAGGTGAATATCTATTGTTTTCTTGACATCTCATGGCATCTATGGTACATTAAATTTTTTGTATATGTGTCCATATGTTTTACAACTATTGTCACGAATAACGAGGTGAAACAAATAACTGCCAAAAATAAAAAGGGAACAAGATAACAGCAGCGCGTCGCGGGCATTGAAGTCAGCGTAACAGCAGAGTCGAAAGCTGGGGCGAGACTGCCTCCGCTCGCCATGCAGAGTCCCTAATGTATACCCTCGTGGGTTTCTCCAACATATGGGTAGAACTTTCAATGCATAGGATACTCGTAACCTAATCAGACGAGAATGTTCTTGAACTTACGAGAACGCCAAGTTGAAAGAATAAATAAAAGGACAGTCCGCTGACTGGAATCGAACCTACAGCTTCCGTGCAACAGTCAAGCGCGGTGACCACTCGGCCACTCACGCGCTTGCTCGCCGACGCGTGTGGCACTATTAACAAAGAGATTGACTATCTTGATGCCTGACCTTGATAGTCTGAAAATGTACTGCATTATTTTCTTTATGTTTACTGTGTACAAAATAGATATGCTACATACCTCGAGTTCGAAACATTTTAGACATTTTGAATCTCGCCGAGCTTCAGATATGCAAAATTTGCAGCTTTCAATTTCTGCCACGGCTTGAGTTTCAGTTTGCAAAATTTAAAGCTTGAGCTTTTTCAAAGTTTGAGTTTGACAGTCTCAAACATTGCTTAGGTTAGAAAAATTAAGATATTTTCAATATTTTTATTAAGTTCAAGTTTGTGAAGTGTAAAGTTTCAGACTTAAGTACAAATAAAATTTTTTGAGGACAGCAAGGGCATGATGCACAAAGGAACAGCTCACCCGCAAAACAAGTACTCAGAAGTCTAACACACACAAAAGTTGTTAGACAGCGCTGTGTAAGTATTTCTTTCTTTTGTCTGCATCAGACTTCTGAGTGCTTGTTTTGGGGGTGTGCTGTTCCCTTGTATATCATGAACAACCAACCCGCCTGAACCTCTGTTTTAACAGCGAGTGCAGGTTCATTGATAGTTTGCAAATTGTCTCGCTTGAAAGTTGCAAATTGAAACCCAAAGTTTTCTGTGAACCAACCTCGTGTTAAGCTTTCTAGGCTTATTTTTTACTTTGATTTAAAGTAGGTAATGCTCATTGCGCTTACGCTATATAATCACTCCACTGCACAAGAGGCCTTTGTAGCTGCTTGGGTGGTGCTGATCTGAGAGTGTCATTTACATCGCTCTAATCTAAAAGAACTAACAACATGCAGCTCACCTTGCACACGAGCAATCAAATGCCTTCCATGCATCACGACATGTGCGTCACGCGCTGAGCTAGGATTGCTAGCAGATTCGCCCATTGCCCGAATGACATTCCATGGAGATGACATTAGATTGCTCGTGTCCAAGGGGTATAGTAGCATGCATGGCTTAGATGCTCAAAGGAGGCTGGTGGTTCGCTATCCACTGAATTCCATAGCTGAAGGGAGTAATTTATTTTGACTTGTTTCAGGCAATATCACCACATTAGGACAACCTTGTTTAATACATTTTTCAACTAATGATTGGTTGAATGTGGTATGTTTATTTGTTCAGGATATGGTTACAAGCATGAATGTCTGCTTCCTAAGAGTTTTTTTTTCTGTCTTTCTATGCGGTCTGTAATATTCCTCCTTCCATTTTAGAAGACCGGAAAGCGGAAAGGAAGTACCCTTGAGGACCGCGTACTACAGCGGCTGAGATTGGAGTTTCACAAGGTGATAAACAACTTTTACTAAAATGGGATTCAGTTCTATCAGAGCAGTTGCTTGAGCTGACTGTGTATGCATAACACACTCTTCGTGCTGAAAACTTTGTTTCAAAAGCTGCATCGTCAAAACTATTTGTAAATCTGGGAAAGCATAGTTTTTGGATGATTTTCAGATGCTTTTAGAGCGCTGCTCTTAGACGCCCGTTCCTGTGTTTCACAGTGTTGGCGTCACCAGAAGAAGAGTGGGCAGGGTGTGGAGGAGGAGGAGGGGAGTGTACGGATGCATAATCACGTAACATTGCGTGATTACGCAATGTCACATGATTATGTAACCTGACATTACGTAAAGTAACCTTCTGTGATAATGTAACTTTTCGTAACCATGTAAGTTTATATGATCATGTAACTTCACGTAATTACGTAAAGTCACGTGATCACGGAACCTTGTGTGGTTAGGTAAAGTAATATTATCACGTAAAGTTATGTGTTCATGTGATTTTGCATGATCCTGTGATGCCACATGATTACCTGCTTTAAATAATTGGTTTATAATTATGCACCACTTACCGTAAAATACTGGGCAAGCGCCCACTCAAAATTTAGAGAATTGCGAAAAAATGGGGGATGGGCGCTTGTCCGGTCATGAATTTTACGTATAAATGTACTGTGTATATTTTTTCCTATCTTAGAAACTTGGATACGGGCGCTTAATGTGGAATGGGCGGATGCGCGGTATTGTACGGTATAGGTGTAACAGAAATATATATAACGAAATTCATTACCACTATAAATCGCAAATTCAAAACACCTCAAGAGCTGCGCTCTAATTTCGCGTTACAGAGAAGCGTAAACGTCTTTCAATTCTTTGTCTTAAACACAAAAAAAAAAAAAAATTCTTTAACCCAGGAAACCTCACGACCAGATGGCGAGGGTCCTGCTTCTGCCAGTGGTGGCACGGAGGATAGTGCCGATGAAGGCGAGGCTGAGGCCAGGGCTGCCGCAGCTGAGGCAAGCTCAGCGAAAGCCGAGGCCAAGGCTGCCGAGGCAGAAAGGAGGGCAGCACAAGCCGAGGAAAGAGCGGCGCAGTTGGAGAAGAACCTCGAAGACCTCCAAGCCCAGCTATATGACAGCGAGGCACGAGCGGTGGCAGCGGAGGGCAAGGCACTGTTTGCAGTGAACACACTCTTCCCTTTGCTGGAAGGTATGAATCATAAATGTCAGAAGGAGGTCTAAACGTTTGTTCTCCTTACCCTCGGATGATGATAAAGTAACAGGGAGTGATTTTTACTGCTCAGTGTAGTAGGCTGATGATGCTAGATATTTCATTTGAACAGGACCACCCGAGATCTACAAATGTTCCCCTCTTAGTACTTTGTGGGGAGTACACGTTTGTAGCGAATGATTTATAGACAGGGTATGGTGTCGGGTGTCTTCTGTCTACATAAAGTAGGTTGCAAGGTTACATCGTAGCTGGTTGTTAAAACTAAGAAAGAGATAGCATGAGCCAGGAGGCAAGCAACTCTTCTCCGACACAGGTCTGTCTTCTTTGTGGTATTTGGTGGGAGGGGGGGACTTGTTTCTTAATTGAGGCTTCCATCGCTACCCAGTTGGCCCAGCCATCCTTTGCTGTACACACGCATCATTGCACAACTGAGAGGGGAAAGCACGCCTCAGATAAAGAGGATCGAGAACTTTTGGTTTAAAAAAATAGCTAGAGTTGACCGAATGGCGTTTGCTACCTCCTTCCTGCCAGAAAGTTTAATTTTCTACTGTTGAACTTGCAGGCTTACTCAGTAGTATAGACAAGGCTAGAGCTATGGATACCCTTTCTTGCTCATTGAAATAGCTAGGTCATAGGAACCATGGCCAAGAGTTCTGAGACACAAGCAAAGTCTGCTGCCAAGCTTCCAATGCAAATAGACCATTCCATTTAGCGCTCTCTGGGTGGCACCATATTGTTCGACAGCAGCGCCCTCTCCATACATCAGGGAAATTCAGCGGGTTCGGCAGGGTAAAACGAGAGAGAGGGCACAAGCCCGACCCCGCTAGCAGACGACAAAACGGGAGGTTGCCACTCTTCATCTTTGAGCTGTATCGGCGGGCTGTACGGAACATCGCACTATTGACTTGTCAATAGTTCGATGTGCTATTGACGTGTCAGTGGTAGTGCTATTGACGTGTCACTGACGCACTCGGGTCCCCTCTTCTTGATAAAATATGCCTCTTGCAGTTCGCGTGCCCTTTGAATTCTGCTTCTACCGAGAATCTTGGTATCACCGAAGCGTGGCTCGCATTTGCAGACCCTACAGTGCATGGGCAAATGTGCCCTGTCATTTGTCTTTAAATTTTGCGCGTGCTTTCTTAAACGGTCATTCGTGCATCTTTCCGTTTGTCCAACGTAAGATTTTCCACACGTTAGAGGGATTTCATACACGACCCCTGTGACGCATTCGATGTACGGCCTGGCGTGCTTCGTGCCACATCCTCGCTCGTTCTTGATTTCTTTAGTAATTCGAGGGCAAAGTTGTCCGAGTTTCTTTGGCGCTGAAAACACGAGAGGTACTCCGTACCCGTTCGCAACCTTCTTGAGGTTGTGCACCATTTTGTGTACATATAGTACAACCTCTGGCCTCATATTGCTCAGTGCCGACTGCGTCACTTTCTGGTTGTGTGCCCTTTTACTTTCTGTAGGGTGGCCTCTGCCACACTTGTCAAGACCGTTTGAGGGAAGCCCGCTGACAATAGTCTAGTCAATTGGTTGTGGAAGCTGGCCTGCATGCGGTGAGCACACGACTTCTTGATAACTGACTCTAGGCAGAGCGTTGCAATTCCTCTCTTTACCACCTTAGAATGCGCAGAGTCATATGGCAGGAGCGCTTTTTGGGATCGTCGGGAATACATCCAACACATGTGTCCCTCCTACAACTTCAAGCTCAGGTCTACAAACTGTAGGTGATCCTGGATAGGGAGTCCATGTGTAAAATGTAGGCCCTTACCATGTCGTTTAACCAACCAGCTCCCAACCAGGATCACCTACAGTTTTTAGACCCGAGCTTGAAGTTGCAGGAGGGACACGTGTGTTGGATGTGTTCCCCACGATCCCAAAAAACACTCCTGCCATATGACTCTGCGCATTCTAAGGTGGTAAAGAGAGGAATTGCAACACTCTGCCTAGAGTCAGTTATCAAGAAGTCGTGTGCTCACCGCATGCAGGCCAGCTTCCACAACCAATTGACTAGACTATAGTCAGCGGGCTTCCCTCAAACGGTCTTGAGGAGTGTGGCAGAGGCCACCCTACAGAAAGTAAAAGGGCACACAACCAGAAAGTGACGCAGTCGGCACTGAGCAATATGAGGCCAGAGGTTGTACTATATGTACACAAAATGGTGCACAACCTCAAGAAGGTTGCGAACGGGTACGGAGTACCTCTCGTGTTTTCAGCGCCAAAGAAACTCGGACAACTTTGCCCTCGAATTACTAAAGAAATCAAGAACGAGCGAGGATGTGGCACGAAGCACGCCAGGCCGTACATCGAATGCGCCACAGGGGTCGTGTATGAAATCCCCCTAACGTATGGAAAATCTTACGTTGGACAAACGGGAAGATGCACGAATGAGCGTTTAAGAGAGCACGCGCAAAATTTAAAGACAAATGACAGGGCACATTTGCCCGCGCACTGTAGGGTCTGCAAATGCGAGCCACGCTTCGGTGATACCAAGATTCTCGGTAGAAGCAGAATTCAAAGGGCACGCAAACTGCAAGAGAATATTTTATCAAGAACAGGGGACCCCAGTGCGTCAGTGACACGTCAATAGCATTGTATAACGCTGAGATTCGTTTTTTCGATAAATACATGTAAACGGTTTCATGCTCTTGTATCTCGCGCATGAGTAGCCTGGGTGATGGTAAGTGTATCAAATATAGATATATATATGTACTTCCATCTTCCTTTCCCAATACAGTTGTGAGTAGCGCCCGTGTTTGTATTCTATCTTGTGTACGTCTTTTTTTAGCGCTTTTAACCATGGTTCAATTCTGGGGAGGGAGCAGAGAATGAAAAAGGGGGGGGGGTTAAAAAGGAGGAGGGGAAAAAACGGGTTATTCGCGGCCTTCCCTCAAGGTCTCTGGTCCCCTCCGCCCAGTTCGGGACGGAGGAATTTCATCTCCCTGTCGGAAAGGGCCAGAGAGGGTGAGGCGACGTTAGTTACTGAGCTCTTAATGGCGTACGATTCGGCGACTTCCCTGCCAAATCTCTGCTGGTGTCCTCCCAATACGCGCGTACCTTCGTATCTGGGCGAACAACCGTCGCACGTCATACGATGTACAACTATTGGGTGCATGGAGTCGTCGGGGGGGTTTGCTCACCTCCCGCGAGTGTTCACTCAGGCGGTCATTTAGACACCTCCCGGTCTGCCCTATATACTCCCCGCCACACGAGAAAGGGATGGCATAAACCACCTCTTTCCTGCACTTAACAAACTGCTGTCCGTGCTTCTTGTTGCATTGAGTCGCGGAGGGCGGGGTATTCACCATTCTGCACATTTGTTGAAGCTTTTGCTTGCAGCTAAACACTACCCCTACCTCGAAGCGAGAGGCGAGTCCCTTGAGGCGATGTGCGGTGTTGTGCGAGTGTCGATGAGAGTTGAAAGAGTTGTATCGTCTGTTTGCGTCCCAAATTCGTGTTTATTCTTTCCGGTTGTCTCAGTCAGTGGTTCTCAACCATCGATGTTTCACTGACCCCTTGTGAATCGGCGGAGCTGATGGAGGATCCCCTTTCTTGGTGAGAGGAGGGGAAATGTATAGGTTAAATATAATAATGATTTAATATATAGAAATAACTGAGTGCTAGTATAAAGTAGCCCTCTCTTATTGACATAGACATGAGAAAACTCGCCAAAAGCGGAAACATTTCTTCTCGACCTGAAAAAAGACAACTTTTATTGCCGTGCTTGACAGATGAGGTAGGGCTTCGCGGACCCCTAGAATGCCTTCGCGGACCCCCATTTGACATCCACTGGTCTAAGTATTTACCAACACGCTCGTTTTTCAATGTTAGCATATCTTTTTTTCCGTTATTTCAATAGTATAGTTGAGTCAGCCGGCAGTACTACCCTCAACTACAATGTGTATTGCGGCAAAAGAGCATGTTTAATTTATTATTTGAGACTTCCACCCATGGTCGGTAAAGGCCTACACCAGTACAAACTTTGCATAGTAAAAAAAGGGTACAGCAACCGAATTTAATTTTCGCCGTAGAGACCAACCAATCTGACAGTTTTCCTTATATATATTTTTTTTTATTTGCACGCAGGTAACATCACAATTGGACCCTGTTAGTCTTTTTATCTAGCATAGTATTACACAATAACTGGCATGCCAAAATCTGCGCATCTGCGCTTGAAATTTCCAAAATGACGCGATTTTAAACAGTTTGCACGCCAGCCGGATGCCAGGTACTGCCCACTCGGTGGAGCAGGCGACATGCGGGGTGAGAGGGAGAGGGCATTTTTTCTCTCTATTACCCTCTCTGCTATGACCCTAATGGAACGGTCTATAGGAGGTGACGTTTTTTATGTGTCATCCCAAGTGCATCAAACAAATATGTATGGGCACCATTGAAGCAGTGCTAACATGTTCACTTCATATAGTGTGCTTTTGTTTTGTAGGGCTTCCAGGCATTGTGGATAAAATGCTAACTGGTGTGGCGGCTGGTGCAACAGCTGTTAACAATGGACCAGCTGAGACTGTAAGTCTAGATTGACTTTACTACTGTGGTGTTTAGCTCTATTATAGTGAAATTCCAGATTTAGCTTCTTTTTAGTTTTAGTAGTACCTCATTAAGCATCCAGTAGAACCTGTAAGCATCCAGTCATGCATGCTTTTATCTAAAGTGGCCGTGTGCGCACAGCGCACACGGCCTTGGCAAGAGATACTAACAGCATGATCGTAAAATGCGCAGTCCGTCAAGCTGGGCCTGTTGAATTTGCCCAACTTTTTATTGGAGGTGTTCTTGGTTTTTTTTTTTTCTTTAGGAATTCATTGATGTTGACGTATATGTCATGATCTGGAGACTTCTGTTCAAACAGGAAAATCGTGCAAGTGGTTAGACCCTTAGCCAGTGACAACACAAGAAGCACAGGGCGTCTTTTTTCATTGTCCTGCCTCCAGCATGCGCTCATTGTCTTACGTTTAAATTTGGCTGCTAGTGCACACAGGAAGAGTGATGCATCGTGGAAGGCTGGAAGCGTGCACAAAAGGTGGGACAATTGAATCCTGTTCTTCTGATCTTGTTCCCGACTATAGTTTAGTGCAGAGGTCTCTGAACGTGGGATTTTTGCCAGCAGTCCACTTGTCTTAGAGGTTTTTAAGATTCAAATTCAAAACTTCTTTTAAATTTGTTTCTGGTTTCGGAGCTATTCCTTGTTTTCTCATTCCTTTGTAACGGTAACGGTTTCCCAATAAAGACCCCTTTCCATGAAATAGGATGCTGCTGCAAGGCAAATTTGGTGTGAATATGATTGAACTGAAAGCAGTTTAAAGAAAGCTTCAAGCGACGCCAGAGGCTTTCAAATAGCACACTCGGGTGTGTTGCTTGTTCTCTTAGTTCGGGAGTAAACACACTGAATTGCTTTTTTTATTCACCTCATAAATTTGATTTATAGTATGGAACGATTTAAGTTTAAAACCTGTCATCTGTCTTTTCTCTCCGTCACAGTTGAAGTTTGGCAACACACTTTTGCCTGCGATAAGGATGGTAAGGCTACAAAACGCTGGGCCGTCAATTTTCACACAAGAACTGGCAGAGATGGTTTTCGGCCAGACGACCCTGGGCACTCAAAGCCTGAGGGGCTCGACCTTTGGAGAAGGAAAAGAGCCCCTGCACAAAGAAACTGTGGATGACATTGTCGGTGAGGATGTCTGTACTTGGCCTTGTTAACTTATCTGCGTGTGACGACCATTTGAAGTATGATTCGACTCTGAAGCTCTTAACGTAGTCCAAACTCTGCAGACAAAGCTATATCAGTTTATGTGATTGCTGCGCCATTTGCCCCAAAATATTAACTCTGGTACATCATGCTACATTTTATCAACATTTGGAAATTTTGAGCCAGAACTGCACAGAAGCTTATTTTGCTTTAAAGATACCACAAGCTCAGAAGCCTTACACTGCTGCGTTGTTACGGTGGGTTTGTGTAAATTTACAAAAAGCTTTCAATTAGTGCTTCAGATAATATGCTATCCAAATTATCTTTCTGTGGAAACTGGCATACTCTTTGCAGTTTTGTACAAAATTGGTTGGCAGTACAGAGAAGAGGGGCGGAGGAACCCCCCTCTTCCCGAGAATCTCTTTTGTGGGTCACAGAATTCGCTATTGTCCCCCTACAAGATTATAGAAGATTAACCCGTCACTCAAAATTCGTACAAAGCAGCCGCTTTGGTGACTGGAACGACTAGGCCATCCTCTCGACATCAGCCTCGCCGTAGCTTTTCTCGTCCCGAGACGACCTACGTCACGATTGCGTTTGATGTCACGTGGTCTCCGCTGGGCCTTCTCCGAGCGCTTGCCAGTGTGGGCCGTTTAAAACGAAAAATACAGCCACCCGGATCAAAATACAAACGTGCAATTGTCATTTACGGATATTGTGGATCATATTGAACCTATTTTTGAACACGACGGGAATATTTCAAATTTCGTTGAAGTATCCCTTTAAAAACTGAATTAATTGTGAGCTTGTGTTCTGGCGGGAGCTTCGAGCATGCAAGCACGTGCAGCAGGTGTGTAACGGCAAGTTTGGAAAGCTTGCAACTGCACATGCTTACCTGCACCTCCAAAGAAATGGTAGTGGTGCCCAGCCTTGCAATAGGATGTATGTTTTGCTTTTATGTGAAATCGCTCATTTAGTTCCTATTTTCGTATAGGCCTCGAGCTGTCCCAAGTGTACTGTCACAAATAACTTATACCTTCGCCAACTTCAGCAGTGAAAGGGAGGTTTGAGAACAACTTTAGAGAGTTCTGGATTTTTAAGACAACAGTCATTGCCTATGTGATCTGCCGTAATCATGAATCTCTGTGTAACTATTTCATTAGTAAGCACAGTTATGTGAAAATATTTTGTAGCTATCAAGGTTTGTAGTTTTTTTAACTTCTGAACTTGAATAAAGCATACAATTATTTACTATGTTTATTATAGTCTCACACAATTTCAGCGGACTAAATTTGCCATCAAATTCATACTTCGAATAAATTTTCAGATAGTCACTCTACATCATTCAATCCAATTGTGTATAAGACTGCTGCTACAACAATACCTAGAAAAAGGCTTTTCTTATGACATCCTTGCTCCTGTGTCTGAAGATTTTAAGCACATAGGCCAGTTGAGGGTTGAATGCTGTCTTCCGTAATGCTAATAGCAGATGCAGAGAGGTGGGAAAGGAGCATTGTCTTTGATCTGATATGAATCTTATAATTGGACTGGAACGAATGAGAGTAAAGTTTATACTTAGCTTTGTCTTAGATCTGCAAATAGCTATTTTGCTGATCTAAGACAGACTTTTAGCTGCTCCATAAGGTGGTACAAAATGACGAATAAATCACATCACTGCTTTCTAAAAACATTAGTGTTGTTAGGACTAGGTTCTAAATGAAAATGTGATTGTGTATTCCCAATCCCTCCTTTGGGCTAATGTTCTGGAATAACGAGAAAACCAATGGCCATTTTCTTAATGATTACCACTTATACAGTATCAAAACCCCTTAACCAGCTTGCTTGATCTGGTCTCAGCTGAGGCTAGTTGTCTATGGCGTTCTACTTCACGCATACACTAGGTGTGCGTTGTGTTTCTTTAACACAGTCTCAGCTGGGATGTTGATTCTAGTAAGGTACGTGGCTGGCCCTGGAACACTGTTATTTACTGTACCATAGAGACTAATGATTGATCAGATTCTTTCAGAAACTTAAGAAGCCTCATGTAATTATTTGACTTGTTTCTTTTCAGTCTACGTCATGAACAAATTTCCTGGAGAATGCGAGGGGACTATCAGGAGGTACCTAAGACGAAAGTGCAACAATGCGGCCTCCTCCCTCAAGAAGAAGCCTGCCTATTTCTGAATCGTATCACTGAGAAATAAAAAAAATTGACAATTGTAACTGAGCTCTGGGTTATTTTGCAATCCTGCTTTGCATGATGAGACACTTGGCACAGACCTCTTTTGTTGAGCTGTCCCAACTGGGCACCTTGACTTTCTCAGGTGTGTTAGTTGAGCAAACCATGTAACATTTCTACTCACGGTATGTGTGCAGCCGAACACCACTACAACCAGGAAGGCTTGGAGCAGTAGTTCACGCATATTAATATCGTATTATCTAGATGCATGTAAAATAGATTTGGTTAGTATTTTTGGTACATACTTCCAAGTCACTTTTAGTATATTTGAAGGTAATTTTTGACCTACTTAAAATGCTATTCTACCATACAATCTAGTAATTCTTGATATATTTCAGATATAATTTTAGCATATTTTTACTTCATTTTTAGCATATTTAGCATTACATTTCTGACAACTTTTAAATTCTTTAGCTGTAAGTTGTAAATGAGTTTTTGGTCAGTTTTGAATACACCGATGGTATTTTGACATTGAAAGAATTATATTTTTGCTGTATTTGAAACAGTTTCTGAATGATATTTATGATTAACTTTAAATACATTACGCGCTTATTTCGAGTGCGGCCAAAATAATACAGAATGAATACAAAATGAATACTCGTATTCAATACATTTCAACTTCATTTGAAGTACGGCCTCTTTTTGCTAAGGGAGACAATCGAACGTGCCGAATTAATGACACCCCTGCTAGAGTGCGCTATTCTTATCTCTGCGTGGTGACACAAAAATATCTAGCGTCCCAACGCTTTTGTTTTCCCGTTCTTTTTCTTTCTTTATCTTTTTTTTTTTTTTGGTACGCGTGAAATTGCGTTTCTTGTTTCATGCTCTCAGCGTTTTAGCTTTGACCCATGTTTCGACGGCGTTCGAATTTGTTTTGTGCATTTATTTTGTGGTGTTGCGGTCGGCACGGTATCTGCATCAAGCAAGTCCTGACGTGTCCCATTTTGGGGTCCATATCCCATGAGCGAATGACGTTTTAGCGAACAGCGACGTTTGAGCGAATCGACGTTTTAGCGAATAACGGGGGCGCGCGTTAACCCATCCGCCGCGCTGCGCTTACGCCGCTTCGCGGCGACAGTCTGCGGCGGCTCATTACAAAAATGTGAAGCCAGTTGGCCCACCCGAAAACGCCGCTTCGCGGCGTCCGACTATTCGCTAAAGTGTCATTCGGTGAAACGTGGCCGTTCGCTAAAACGTCATTCGATCAAGTGAGTGCCTCCCCCCATTTTGCGACCCTCCCTGGACAGAGCAGGTGGCCTGTACACGAACTCATCTCTGTTACGTCACGGCGCGGTGGTGGCGCGTCGGACGCACTTCCGGTCCGGGGCTGTTGGCGGAAGTGCCCATGTGAGACGTGTGTTCCTGCGTTGTTTAGAAAGGAACCAGACAAAAACCTGCCTTCTCGTCAAAATGGTGCGACTGCGGCCGTACCAAAAGTGTCGAGAAAGGTTTGAAAGTCAGTTTTCATGCGCTCGGTTCGTCCGGGATCGTGGATATGTGTCGTGAAAAAGGAAAACCAGACGCCGTCGGACCACGATCGCCTTGGCGGGAAGCACTTTGGGTTCAATTCACGGATACTTCTGGCCATCAGATTTATTTGTGTTGTTCCAACATGAACGCCGGAAAACCGTCAAGTTGTTGGGACCGCCTGCATGCGGACGTTCAGTGCGTCTTCAAGATCGAACGGCCGCATGATCGCTCGAACTGTCGTCTGCTCTTTCAAACGCTTCTGCTCGTCGTCTGCTCTTTTAGACGACACCGGCCCGTGGACCAAATGTTGGCCCGGTACTTGCAATAAGAAGTGAGTGCAGGCCTCAAAATACTTAACTTTGAAAATTGGTAAGCAGGCTCGATGTAAACAGTGGATACAAGGAGATGTTGATCGTTGTTACAGACCATCAACGACTTGTTATGCCTCATTCACTTGGTCCGATTCTGCTTGCGATTTTCAGTATCGATGTTGAACATCTCAGCTACGGTTCACGCTGTTGTAACCCGAGCGACGTCATGACTGAAAATTGCGACCGAAATTTCATCATGCGAATCAGGCTTTAGCGTACCCTCTGCGGCGTCCACGCGGAATGAATCGCCGCATCTCACATTATTCACGCGAAGTTTTACGGTGTAACGAGCCTCGGTAATTTCGCTGACGCCACTCAAGTAGTCAGATATCGTTAGGAGGACGAAGAATCAACAATTCCAACGCGAAAAAGGGCGCGGGGACTCACACCGACGCCGACAACATCGCATTTCAATGGTTTGTTTATGGGCGACGGCGAGCTCCTCGCCCACACCCCCATCGCGCATGCAAGGAGCCGGTGGCGTCCGCTAGAGGCGCTCCGGGCACTCCGGTTTGTTCGTAAACATGGGTTAACTGCTTTGTCCTCCCCCCTTTGACCTTGCCTTCTGATAAGCCTCCACACCTTCGTTTGTGGCTTGGTGTGGCTGTGAAAGAGTGCGAAGGCTGCTTCTAGCAAATCCGAGCGATGGTGCGAAACACGTGAGCGCCCTCCGTACGGCAAGAACGCTTGGACGAAAATTTGTCACGTGACTCGCTCTGACGCGGTGATGATGGGGTCACTGCGGCCGTTCTTTGCCGTATTCCAAGTTAAAGCGCGAAACACATGTACGACGAAACCGTCCGATCCGACGTCCGACCACGCAATACGACGGTCGGAGGCGAGGGTTTTCAACGCTCTCCGATGCTACGAAAACCCTCGCCCCCCAAGGTCATTCCGGCAGTCCGCACGTCGGATCGGAAGGTTTCGTCGTACATGTGTTTCGCGCTTAAGGCCCGTTCACACTCTTGCAACCGAGTTAGACCGAGAGACACCAGACCGGTTTTTAAGCCTCTTGCGATTCCTTAGGACCAGCTCCGCGCTGCAGCGCATCCGGTCCTAAGAAGTCGCAAAAGGCTTAAAAACCGGTCTGGTCTCTCTCGTTCTAACTCGGTCGCCAGAGTGTGAACGGCGCTTTATGGTGAGCTGTAGGGGCCACGCAGGTCCGGTTTGCGCCCCACAGGCGTCAGTTGTCTCATGTTTTTCGTGCGTTGCAGTCGCAGCGGTGATATTACGTCTTGAACAGCCGGAATACGTCCATACTAAATTTTTGGTAATGGTCGTTTATTTCGTCGGAGTCCATGAATTTATTGTGCTGTGTTTTTTGGACGCGTTTTGACAAAGAGCTGCTCATCGGCGGTCGCGAGACTTCCGCTGAATGTAGTCGACCGCCTTCAACCTCGGCATTGTGTTTGCGTTGTTTTGTGCTGCCCGAATGGGATCGTGCATCTATCACGACAGAGAGCTGCTCATCGACGACCGCGAGACTTCCGTTGCATGCGAGCGATCGTTTCATCACCGACGTTTTGTTTGTGAATTGTTTTGGGCTGCCCGAATCGGATTATGCATCTGTCACGGATTACATGAGATCCCTGTTTGATTTGTAAGTACTCTGCAAGCATTCTTCTGATAGTAGTCCTGCTTCCATCTCAATAAACCATTTTACCGTTTACAAACTGCCGCTTACGCCCCAAGCAGCTCCCGGTCGTTCCGTCTCTGCCAGCCTGTCGAGTTCTGCTTACGTCACCAGAGCTGGAAAGCATTAACGCAGCTTTAGGCGAAGGAAAGCCTTACTAAAAGTTTGAGTGCATTTATTTTAAGCCTTCGAGAATTTCGTAGCTTTGTCACAAAAACTTAACATTAGGTCACAAATGCTCGCGTTTGAGGTGTGACATTGGTTTGTCGCGAATTCGCGACAAAAGAGGATAAGATCCACGCACGTTTTTTTTTTTTTTTTCAGATTGAAAAATAAAGTGGTGCACATGTTTAAACTTGTTAGCAATCATTTTGGCGTAAATACTTTTCGATGAAGTACTGCGGGGGTCTGTGCCCTATTCTGTGGATGTGTTACACATTTTGTATTATTAACCTCTTCTAGCCGAATCAAGTGAGAGTTACTGCGCAGGCGAGCTGGTGAAGTATCATGATAAAAAAAACCAAGACTAGATACAAAATATTGGGACAACAGAACACGTCTCGAAACTTTTTGAGACAGTGTTGCGTTGTCCCAATTTTTTGTCACTAGTCTCGGGGGGGTTTTCTTTGTTTTGTTTTTTTCATTCTCTTCTAGCTGCAGTACACCGTTTTAAAAAGGTGTACTGCTGCCATCACACCCTAATAAAATGGTGTAGACCAGAATCACACTTTTCTGCGAAGGGTGTAAGAGATTACACCGGTTTTCGAGGGTGTGAGGTATCACACCTTTTTTCTAAGGCGTTTTTGTACACCAATAAGGGGGTGAGTTGTGATCCATGCCATTTACACTAATAAGGGTGTGAAAATGTTTTGTGTGATAGTGTGATCAGGCCTCAAAGAAGCAGTCCAGCCAAGTCAAAGGTCAGCGAGCATCTGTTCTTCTTTTTCCGGCCAGCCCTAGGCGCGTGCTGTTCGCTCGTGTTCATTACCTCATACACTGCACCGGTCGGCGTGAGACCTGTAGCGCCATCTCTTTTTTAATTCAAAGAATACAACAACCCTCTTGTCTCATATAATGCACCCAAAAACTTCAGTTCGACACTACTCATGTATTCACGAAAGAAGAAAAGAAAGTGGTTGTGCTTCAAAACTACATTGGAGGGTATGAAAACAAGACTTATTTAAGGCGCTTGTAAGGCATGACATAGCTATACCCCTTTTAACGACTTTGAAGTGAGAGCACGTGTAGTTTAGGATGCCTTTCTTAAAACGAGGGGAAAAGGTCCAGCACAGGTAATTGGGTAGCAGAGAAAGCGAAAAGTCCAGAAATTGCAAAACTCCTTCCTTTGGCGTTTCACAGGTAAAGACAAGTCCTAAACCACATTTGTGGACATTTTCCACAAATGTGGTTTGTGGAAGTGCCGTATAAGTCTAAGGCCGCCAGAAGTGGCAGCCGTTAGAACCTTTAAACT